TTCAACACAAGCATACTGCTCATAAAAGTATTCACACTCAAGAAAAACATATGCATGCCTGGTGTGTGGAAAAAGTTTCAAACACAATGATCAGCTTACCTCCCATTAAAGATTGCACACAGGAGACAAACCATATCAGTGCATGGAGTGTGGAAAGAGCTTCAGGTTGAGTCATGAGCTTATTCTGCAAAAGAGGATTCATAGAGGGGAGGAAACCTCATCAGCGGTCTCAGTGTGGAAAGAGCTTCAGCATCAACAGTAACCTTATTGCTCATAAAAGGATTCAGACGGGGGAAAAACCATACACATACATAGAGTGTGGTAAAAGCTTCAGCAGGAGGAGTTCCCTTGTTTTTCATAAATAAAATCACACCAGGGAGAAACCATATAAATTCTTTGATTCTGGAAAGAATTTCAAAGGCAGCACAAAATTTACTTTTCATAAAAGAAGTCACCCAGGAGAAAAACCATACAGATGCCTAGAATGTGGAAAGAGCTTCAACACAAGCATACTGCTCATAAAAGTATTCACACTCAAGAAAAACATATGCATGCCTGGTGTGTGGAAAAAGTTTCAAACACAATGATCAGCTTACCTCCCATTAAAGATTGCACACAGGAGACAAACCATATCAGTGCATGGAGTGTGGAAAGAGCTTCAGGTTGAGTCATGAGCTTATTCTGCAAAAGAGGATTCATAGAGGGGAGGAAACCTTATCAGTGCTCTCAGTGTGGAAAGAGCATCATCAACAGTAACCTTAATGCTCATAAAAGGATGCACACAGGGGAAGAACCATACCTATGCACAGAGTGTGGTAAAAGCTTCAAAATCATACCAGGGAGAAACCATATAAATGCTCTGAATGTGGAAAGAGTTTCAAGGGCAGCACAAAACTTACTTTTCATAAAAGAAGTCGCACAGGAGAAAAAACATACAAATGCCTAGGATGTGGAAAGAGCTTCACCTGTTGCTCATAAAAGGATTCAAACAGAGCGGTCAGCTCACCCCTCATAAAAGACTGCACACTGGAGAGAAACCATATCAGCGCATGGGGTGGGGAAAGAGCTTCACATTGAGTCATGAGCTTACTTCACATAAAAGGATCCATACAGAACATGGAAAGAGTTTTAGTAAGAGTCAGTGATTGCTCTGAATGATGTTTAGTAAAAGCAGTGACTGCTCACAGTCACTGATGCCGTAATCACCTCCAGATTGGACTACTGTAATGCGCTCTACATGGGACTGCCCTTGAAAAGTATCCAGAAGCTTCAACTGGTGCAGAATGCAGCTGCCTGGGCAGTTATGTGTGCTTGTAAAAGAGCATATATTACACCTCTGCTTCGTGAGCTGCCTTGGCTGCCAGTTTGCTTCCAGGTCCAATTCAGGGTGCTGGTTTTGACCTTTAAAGCCCTTCGTGGCATGGGTCCAGGTTAGATTGCTCCACTATGATTGATATTCTGCTCTCTCTGGGGTTTGTATATTTTAAAATTTTAAAATTTTAAACTTTTTGATAATGTTGCATTTTTATAATCACTTTTTATCTTTTATAATGATGTTTTTATCTATTTGTTATTTTATTCAATTGTTGTGTGCTGCTCAGAGTCACTTTGTGTGAGATGGGTGGCTATATAAATGTGATAGACAGACAGACAGACAGACAGACAGACAGACAGAGGAGCTGTTTCCCTACTTCCCATAAAAGGATCCACATTGGGGAGAAACTGTATCAGTTGAGAAAGTGTGGACAGAGCTTCAGTCAGAGGATTTCCCATATTTCCCATAAAAGGTCCCACATAAGGGAGAAGCCCTATAAATGGAATGCAGAAAGGAGTTCAGCAGAGCTGATAATCAGATACCTCACCATCCAAAGGTCCTTCTCCTCTTCTACCACCAACCCAGCCTATTTAATCATTAAGATGCTGCCAACCTTTTTGGATGCCTTTTGAAAACCTGCTGCATTGATATTTTCTCTGAGCAAACAACTAGAAACACCCCAAGACCCCTTTCCTGACTACTCACTGCCAGCTCAGACCCAGAAGCCAGCATTAGCCCCGAATTTCCAACCCTGGACACAAACATGCTGAGCGCAAGTCAGAAGTTCCCATTTTCCCCCTCCAATGATAGCGGGGGGGGGGGGGGGGCCCCT